GAGGCACAACCAATTTTATAAATTGGGTATTATTATAGTATACGTACATATGCATATGTTACACGTGTGTATTTCTTACAAACTGGATATTACTATATATTATGTATCTGATAATGTTAAATGAAACATGCAGCGTATTAATACTCAATGAATGTGTATTACTTGCAAATTGGAGATAATATTGGAAATTATATATATATATATATATACACACATTTTATCAAGAGTGTTTTCCTATGTGATATTCTTTACAAATTTGATTTCTAATGGGTACTTATTCCAGCATCATTATATAAACCTGACCAAGTTTACCATTTGCTTAAATCTTCCTGAGGGGACCTAGCCCTGTTTAAGTCAGCACTCAGGGCCCCTCCTGAATGGCCCTCTGCTTCCGGCTCCTCCCAGCCCCCACCCCGGCAGCAGCAGTCACCCATCACTCCATCAAGGCTACCTGCAATTCACTCTACTGCCAATGCTCCTTCTGTCTTTACCCCCCAGAGGTGTCAGCCCAGGTAGTACTTGCCTGGAATAGTTGTCTCTGTCACCAGTGCAGTCGCGCCTGGATATGGGAACTCCGTCCTTCTGGGCTTCCGTGCCTCCTGCTTTGTCTACTCTCCAACAGGCTCCCAGAGAATCAAAGGAGCAACAACCAGTTTGAAGACCAGGCAAGAAACTCTTTGATCCAGACAGGAGAGTCCCAGGAGTCCACCTCGGAGCTGGTCAGGGAAGGACGTGCCTACAGCATCCCAACCCCACAGACTCAGCCCAGGTGACCTGCTGGGGAAAGTTGGTGTCTCCAGCGCAGGCCCAGCAGCGAGCTGTGTTAAGGAGAGAAAGGGGGAGAGGGGAGGTGGGATGGGGAGCGAAGAAGGGGCAAGATGTGCCACCAGACTTCCGAGTTACCAAGGGCTTTTACTACTCTGCCCCTCAGTGTCCGGGGTCCAACCCTCCCCTTCCAAACTCAGGGCATCCTGGATCCCTAAATTCCTGGAGAGAAAGGAAGATGGGAGAGGAGGCTCGGTGGTATAGGTCCAGAGGCGGAGGGGGTGAGGGGGTCGGGTGGCCAGGGGAACAGACGCCTGGCACCCGGAGAGGTTAGGAGCTGGGGGCCGGGACCACGGCATCGCCCCCTTACCCGCCACTGACGCGCGAGTCTGGAGAAGACCGGTCGCTTCTGCAGGCGTGGTGGGGGGTGGGGGAGGCGGCCTGGGCGCGCGCGACGAAGGTCCGAGTTTCTGCGGGAACCACTGCTATTGGGGCCAGAGGTGATTTTAATATTTTGCTGCAGCCATAAGGCGACTTAGGCAATTCACCTTGGAGATGCACACACCTGAGCCCAGCCCCTAGGCGTGCGCCCGCCCCCCCTCCAGCCCCACTGCCTGCGTCTGGGCCCCATCTCTCTAGAGTGACGCCTGGTCCGCGGTTCCGAGCTCAGAAACCCGAAGAGCTGCATGCTTAAGTGTGAAGTGAGCACCATCGGTTCTCCCCACCCCGCCTCCATCCCTTACTCCCTGGAGCGTCATCTCTCCAAGTTAATTCTTGGGGAAGAGCCCGGGGTCACCAGCTACCTGCCAGATTCGGCCTTGCAGTGGGCGGAGTGACGTCACCGGTTGCCAAGCCGATTTAGTCTGGCTGGTAGACTTCATGGTTAACACATTTGGCCGACTGAGGTTAGGGGAGAGGCAAGATACGAACCGAGGGGGCGCCCGTTTCAGCCTCACCCGTTTTAACGTTCACGCTCTTAGCCACTGTGCCAATAAAGACTCAACACAGTATAAAGCTTCCACATCTAAAACAGGGAGGTTCCGGAGGAGGTTTACAGTAACTTGATGGCATAGAATACAAAGTGTAGACGTGTAGAGGGGTAGATGAGGGCTCCAGTACTGATGGAAATCCGGATGATAAGGCAGAATTTCAAATGAGTGGACAAAACATGAATTATTCAGAGATTGGGTTGAAACAATTGGCACCTGGGAAAGATTATGTTCCTTACATCACAATACATTTCAGATGGTTCAAGGATCACGATGTAAAAAATGAAAACAGAACTCACTAGGAAGCAACATGGGTGAACATTTCTATAATCTTGGCACCAGGAAGGGCTTTCAAAGAATAACATAAAAACAAGAATCCATAAAAGAAAAATCTGGATGGGGTGCCTGGGTGACTGTCGGTTAAGTGCTCGACTTTGGCTCAGGTCATGATCTCATGGTTCGTGGGTTTGAGCCCCACGTCCGCCTCTGTGCTGACGGCTAGCTCAGAGCCTGGATCCTGCTTCGGATTCTTTGTCTCTCTCTCTCTCTCTCTGACCATCCCCTGCTCACGCTGCCTCTCTCTCTCTCAGAAATAAATAAAACATTAAAAAAAATCTGGTAAGTTAGACTGTATAATAGAAACATCTCTGTAGGGCAAAATAATAAGAAATGAAGTTAAAAGGCATCAAACTCATAAAACATTCATTTATAACAAAAAGCTTAATTTCCCTAATATACCAAGAATTAAAAAAAATTTTTAATGTTGATTTTTGAGAGAGAGAGGGCGGGAGACACAGAATCCAAAGCAGGCTCCAGGCACTGAGCTGTCACCACAGAGCCTGTCTCGGGGCTTGACCTCATGAACCGTGAGATCATGACCTGAGCCGAAGTTGGATGCTTAATTGACTGAGACCCCAGGTGACCCGTCAGTTGTTTCTTAAATTCCACATATGATTAATCTCACATTTTTAATACTATATTTTCTCTGTGCTACATTGTTGGTAATTTCTTTCCATTTGTCTCTTCCTGGTTTTCTAATTGGTTATTTAACCCATCCACTGATGTTTTTAATCACTGATTTTTTCATTTCTAAAAGTTTTTTCATTCCTCTACAAATACCCTGGTCATTTCTGAGAGTCTTTTGTACCTTGTTTTGAAGTCTGGCTCTCTTGTCTTTAAGTATATTAACCATATTGAGTTTATATTATGTATCTGGTAATTCCACTACACTAGGTTTTTGAAGGTCTAATTCTGCTCCTTGTTATTTCTACTAATCTTCCCTTAGGGTACCTTTTTCCTTGCATGTTCTGTGATTTCTTTTTGTGACCTCATGTTCATGGAACTCTGTGGAGCTTGGCAGAGGCTGTGTTTCCCCCAGAGATTATGTATATTTACTTATGACAGGTGCTGGGGGCAAGGCGCTATCCACTGGCACCTTTAAAAAAATTTTTTTTTAATGTTTTATTTATTTCTGAGAGAGAGAGAGAGAGAGACAGCGTGAGCAGGGGAGGGTCAGAGAGAGAGGGAGACACAGAATCGGAAGCAGTCTCCAAGCTCTGAGCTACCTGTCAGCACAGACCCCGATGGGGGGATCGAACCCACAAACCATGAGATCATGACCTGAGCCGAAGTCAGACGCTTAACCAACTGAGCCACCCAGGTGCCCCTCCACTGGCACCTTTTATATTAATCTCAACCTGGGTTTTTCAGACTATGCATGTTGTATGACTCTGAACCAAAATCCCATGTGAGAGAAGTTTTGGGTTACAAATTCTTAAAAAAAAAATACATTATTTGCCTGCTATCAGAGACAGAACCAAGACATATAGTTTTTTGCTGTCTAGCCCTTTCACAGCTTTCTGTGTGAGGGGATTTCCTTTTCTTTCATGAACCCAAGTTCTTTAGTCAACTTTAAAGCCAAATCACTAACATCCTAGAGTGGCAATTGTCCCAAGGCAGTTGCTAGCTTTAACCCTTGCTGAAGCTTAGGTTTAATTTTTTTAAATGTTTATTTATTTTTGGGAGAGAGGGAGAGAGAGAACAAGCAGGGGAGGAGCAGAGAGAGAGACACAGAATCTGAAGCAGGTTCCAAGCTCCTTGAGCTGTCAGCACAAAGCCTGACATGGGGCTCAAACCCATGAACTATGAGATCATGACCTGAGCCACCCAGGTGCCCCAAGCTGAGGTTTAACTTCTGATTACCCTTAATTTCTTCTAAGCTCATCTGTGAATTTAAAGAGGATTGTTGGGCCTCAGTTGATTAAGTGTCTGACTCTTGATTTCAGTTCAGGTCATGATCTCACAGTTCATGAGTTCGAGCCCCACCTCAGGCTCTGCACTGTTAGCGTTTGGGGTCCTCTCTCTCCCCTGCATTCTCTTTCTCTCTCTCTCAAAATAAATAAGTAAACTTAAAAAATTAAAATAAATAAAGAGGATTGTTTTAATATCTTTGATGTTACACTTTAGGTGTCAATCTATGGAGTGGCTTGTCTTATTTTGTTGTCACATTGCCTTCAATGAATTCCTCCTTGAGTCTTCAAACTCTGCAGTTAGCCTCTACGGTCTCCATCATTCCCTACAAAATATCCTTCCTCCAGGCTCCTAGACCTCCCTAGGAAAAGTATACACTGTTGGGTACAGGTTTAAGCTCCTTGGTAGACTTGGTAAAGTGATCAGCTATTCCAACTGCTTATGAGAGACATGAGGAAGCTGCCAATGAGCAGAGAGCTAACCACTTTGCCATAATCAGTGGTGTTCTGAGACCACTGTCCCTTATCTGTTTACTTACAGGAAGGGCCAGGCAGAGAGGGCCTGGGATTCTAGCATGTGAATTGAACAAAGTCAGTGGAAGGCAAGAGTGGGAGCTGAGCATTATTTTTTTCAAGACAAAAGCAAAGTTCCATGGGTACTAGCACCACTTTTACCTTAGTTTAGCAGGGATCAGACCTGACACGCACCAATTCCAAGAGGAAGGCAGGCTAGGAGAGGTAGGGGGTCAGCTGTCACCATCAATCAAATACTGGAAGTCAAAGAACACCATTATTATGTGTTTGGTGAGGGCAAGTATAGGAGATGCGGAGAATGACAGCTGTGTTAACCTCTATCTGGCCAGAAAAACCTTCCCGATCCAGGAAAACAAAACATCTTTGGGTCCAGTTACATTAGTAATTGCTAATTTTACCTTTTCTAATGTCAAGTTGCCAACTGGGGAGTTCCACTTTGAAAAAGAAGTGATGTTTTGCCAAATAAAATCAAGTATTTATTTCCAAGATGAATTACTCACATGGCAGGGAGGTTTTTCCTTGGTTGTTTATCCATTTTATTAGCCTTCTTTTGGTTTTGCCTCACCTGAAGCCGTGAACGGGGGTTCAGTGAGTTCTTTTTAGCTTCAGGTTTGAAGATAATTGTGCCCTTACTGTGAATCATGGAGACTGGAAAAGCCACATCAACGAGTGTGTATAGGAAGTAGGCAGGGACAGGCAAGATGGCGATGACAATGAAGATGACGAGCAAGACTTTAGCCCATGACGGATAAGTTCGGATCACCTCATTTGACTGTGGAGAAACGGAAGGTTTAGAATCCCAGTTTCTCTGAAGAGGAAGGCTACAGAGGTTGGGGGTAGGACATGAACCAAGGCAAGAGACTAGTTAATTGGATCCCCAGGGAACCCGGGATGAGGCGACATAGTCCTAGAGGCCAGAGAAGATCAAAAAGTCCTCACCCGCTCCCTAGGGGGTCTGGGGTCTGAGAGGGAGGCTCACAATGCTGGAGTCCCAGGCCAAGTAGGTGATGCTCTTCAGAGACAGGTGAATCAGGGTGTTTATAAACAGGACTATCAGCACAAATGGAGACAGAAAGGACCACAGCCAGCGAAAGATCGGGGAGATGGGACGGCCCAACATGATAATCAGGTCTGCAAGGAACCTGGGAGGAAGGGCCACAAGACTTTGGAGGGGCCTGTTCAGGCCTTTCCCAGCCTTGGGGAGGGGTCAGTACAAACCCTGCCCGGGAGACAGAGCTTCACATTTCTTAAAAGCTTCTGTTCGCCTCCACAACCAGTTTTCTTCTAATTCATCCCCTTTGTCTGATTTCTGTCCCAGCCTCAGGATTAAAACAAAACATTTCTCTCCTCCATCATCCTCAGAATAAAAGCGGAGTTCCTAAATGTAGTTTCTTCAAACCCACATATCCACCTTTCCTTGGCGCACCTTCTTAACCCCAACATATATGTACATTGGGTTCCTTTTGCCTAGAATGCCCTTTTATTCTTTCCCTTGACAAACTCCCCTTCATCTGTCTAGGTTCTGTTCAAGCATCCCCTCCTTGCCTGACTCTATCTTCTTTAGAGTATCTGTGTTCCCAGAGTGCCCTTGGCTGCCTCTATCATAGGCTTACTACCCTGCCCTCAAAATCTGCTTACATACGTCTCCTTGGGACTCTAAGAGCAGAAACTCAGTCTCATTTATCCCAGGATCCCCAGGGGTCACAAGACCTGCCTGCCCCTTGGGCACACTCTGGGTAATATCTGAGAGTATTTGAATCAGCAACTGATGCCAAGAACCACTATCACCTAGAAATGCTGCCACATTTGGATTATACAATGCTTCTCAAATGCTAATGTGCAGACAATTTAAATTCTTGTTAAAATGCAGATACAGATTCAAAGGTCTGGGGTAGAGCCCAGGGGTTTTCATTTCTAATAAACTTCCAGGTGAGGCCATTGCTGCTGGTCCAGTACGCATCTGAGAAGCGAGGGACTGTATGCCCACACTACCCTGGTTAACAGTAGGGCTCAGGAGCTGCTAGGACTTGATATAGTCTGTTCATTGCTTTTCCATTTTATAGCTATTTTCTCCAGGCATCAGCCCAGGAGTTCCTCTTTTCCACCCTCCTGGGGGCTCACCCTAAGCCCTGGGATCAGGGACCTGGTAATGAGAGTAAGAGGGGCCAACACTCCCTAGGGACCCTAGCTGTGTGGGTGCATGGCTGGACATCCTGGGCTTGGGACATCACCTCCTGGCTCCATAGATCCAGGCCATGGCCACGTTCTCCAACATGACAATGAAGAAGAGGGGCAGAGATGCCCAGTAATCATCCAGCAAGTTCATGTAGTAGCTGCCAGAAGGCCTCACGAAAAAGAGGCTGCCCAGGAACATAGGCACACAGATGCCCACTGCAGGAAAACATAGATTTGTATCAAGGTCAGAATTCAAACTAGGTTGTAGAAGAGTCCCAGTGGGGTTAAGCTAGACAACGGTCACAGGTGGGAGTGGGGTCATAGGTCAGAGTACCTGTAAGCAGTTTTGTATGTTTCCTGAGGGAAGTGAAGATGTCCTGGAGAGGGGTAATAATGCCCTGCATGATCCCTATCATGGTGCTCAGCCCCAGGTTCGCCAGCAACACAAAGATGATGATGGCCCAGAAGTTGGATCCAGAAAACAAAGAGATGATATCGGTAAATGCCACAAAGGCCACACCAGGGCCCTCCATAACCTGTGAGCGAAGGGAGGAGCGGCAGGGGCTCTGAACTCATTCTGTAGAATCCTACCTGCATTCCAGTCCCCTCCCCTAGGAAACCATCTGTAGCACTGCCAATGGACATTGTTAAACTCTTCTAGCCCTGAGGCTGAGGGTTTCCTTCAGTGAGAGCTGCTGGTCTGGCAACTCTTTGGGGTTGGGGTGAACAGGCTTATATGAACTCCGATGCTTGGTACTACGGAGGCTCTACCTGCCTTATCACAAAAGGATACTGTGAACCTTGGTCTTGGTTGTCCAGGATGCTGCTGAAAATTGCCTTTCTGGATTCTAGAGGCACCTCAGGAGAGCTGAAGTTTCTGGTGCACCGTGGGCTTTGAAGGGAACATTTGGACCCCACTCCTAACCCTTACCTACCTCCTTCAATTGTTCAGATAAGTTGCAATTGGACAAATGGGGTAGGATCATGCTTTTCACTTGTTCAGGAAGGTTCTTGAACCATTCGGAGTAGATGGAGCTTGGATCATAATACAGACTGTCTGGGGGCCGGGCCTCAGGAGGCAACACCCCAGTAACTATCAGATTCATCACTGTCTCGACATTCCTGGGGAGAGGGGTGGAATCACATAAAACCATTTGGCCCTTTAAGATAACTTCTCTCTTATCTTCCACATGAGAAGGAAAACCACTAGCCTGGAGTTTTTGATCTAGTTAAAGTACAGCCTGCACTGAAACCTGGGTCTCCAGGGTCCTAGCGCTCACTGCCGGACACCTACTTTCATAATGTGTCTGCCAGAGGCCACAGAGTTTCTACTTAAGACCTGGAAGGGTGTTTCCTACAGGGTCATGCAGGGCTTTAGGGCCTATACCTCCTACTATACAATTTCAGAACATTAAAGCTTCTCAACTTCCTTGACCTGCTGGCCTCTCCAATCTCTTAACATACAAGTCTTTATTTTCTCTACTTTGGACTCTATCATTCAACCTCTTCCACTTGCCATGCTCCCCATTGCTCAGTATCTCTGGCATTCTCTCTGCCTAGCACCACCCACTCTGATCCAGCCAGTCTTCCCCAATGCTACCACTATATCGTTCTCCATATGCAAATTCCTACAAATCCTTACTCAGCTCCCTGAACTCTGTTTACTGCCATGGAAAATGATTCAAGATCTATTTCCATAAGGGCAAGTCAACAAGCTGCAGCAAAGTAGCCTGGTGTGATCCAATCTTTTTAATGGTATGTTTTTATATGTAGGTCTATGAATGGGAAACATTATGAAAGAATGCTAATGGTGGTTATTTGTCAGGAGACAGACTCAGCTCGGGATTGCTTCCGCTGGGAAGTCTTCTCTGACTGCCCCCAGGAAGTTAGTGGTTTGCTCTTCTGTGTCTCCTCATCATCCCTACTGCCAGTTATCATCTACTTTGTAGTTATCTGTTTAGTATCTGCTTCCTCAAAAGACTGTGGTTTTCTTGAGGACAGAGATGGTAGGCTGCCTCACCATTGGCTGTTTCCAGAACTCAACACGGTTGGCAGATAGGAGATGTTTTATACATGTTTCATGAATATTTTTTAGAATGAATCTTATAGGAGAAGAAAATCAGGAAGGGGCTCTGGGAGCTCTGGTGGTGCCATGGGTCCCCCCCCACTTTTTTTTTTTTTTTGGCCTCTTGTCTAATGATTCAGCTGAAGCTCTTCTCCTAATTTTCCATGGCAATCTCCACTTAAGAACAGAGTGAACACACCATCGAAAACCTCTGAGTTTGGGGCTTTACTAGTTTAGAAAGGCAGCAGTGAAAGAGAGTTGGAGCGATTCAGGTGTTTCTAAGGTTTAGGATGCTCCTGTTTGAGGGTCCCATACTGACTGAGCCAACAACCCTGAGGGATGGGGGCCTAGACTAGAATTCCATGGGCTGTTTCTAAGACTTTGGTCTTTTTGATGATCTCCATATGAAAGATTGGGCTCACTTCAGGTAACATTTGTCGTTGTTCTTTGTGGCCAAGTGGCCCATTATGGCAAATACAAACACCATGGCAGTCAGTGAGGCAGTCAGGTTGAGCAGAGCCACAACAAAGGCATCCAGGACACAGTTGTTGGATCGAGGGATGTATGAGCTGATTGCGGTGAAGCTGCCAAAGCCGTGGCCCATGGATAAAAAGATCTGGTTCCCTGTCCGGCGCCACACTTCCACAGAATACAGGGCTGGCACCTGGGGAGAAGTACCATGCAAACTGGGATATAAAGTGAGGAGGGGTAAACGGTGAGCTGACGGAAGATGAGGAAGAGGTGAAGGAGGGAGCCAGGAGGGCATCTATCAGACTAACAATCATCCTGTCCCTGACACCCCCATGTGGGTAAGAGAATTAAAGGGCAGGGGACACCTCACCTGGGCAGCCAACAAACTGTTGAGACCAAATTTTGCACCTTCCAGCATGAGACTCCGGATAAGGAGACAGAAAAGGATGAAGTAGGGAAGGAGCACTGAGACATACAGCATCTGAGTGGGAGGTATGATTCAGAAACAGAGTTCAGCAAAGACAGAAGCTGGGACAGTAGGATCAAAGACTACTGGGAGTCAAAGGTCATATTAGGAGGAGTTAGAAGGTGGAGGCCTACAGACATCAGGTTAGGAGAATGCTAGGGGGTCTTGGGTGGAAAGGAGTCCATCAGATTAAGAAATTAGAGGGTGGCTCACCTTTCCAGAGGACTTGGGTCCTTTTATTATGGAGATACAGATTATCAACCAGGTCACAAAGAGAGAGACACTGAGATGCTCAACTGGTAGCCCACCAATTTCGATTTCATCCGTGGCCTTCAATACATGCCGGTACCAAAAGTATGTAGTGGATGTTGTCCGCGCACATTCAGGATCTGAGGTGAACTGGGCATGGAGGAAACTGCAAGACCACGTAACTCCCCCTTCCAATCTCCCTCCACCTCCACCCCCTCCTTCCAATCTCATTCATCATCTTCCTGCTCATCCCTATTTTCTCAACAATCTTGTTCCTTCTTCATTTCCCTATCCTTTTTTCAGCCCTCCCACTTGCCCTTTTCTTCCCTCTCTTCTCACCAAAAGTACTGGAGTTCCTTAGTAAGGGGCAAAATGCCCAAGGCAGTGGAGATTGGAAAGACTGAACTAAATAGAAGAGACTCCAGGCCATGAGCACACTGTAGTACAAGCCCACGATGCAGCAAACCTAGGGACCATGGAGAATTCTGGAGACAGAAGAAAGGCAGGCCAGCAGAAAGCAGGGGATTCGACAGAAAAAACTTGACTTGAAGTGAAGTCATGGGACCCATCCCAGGACAAGGGTTAGGGTGGGAGTGAGGTGTCAAGAGCAAGCTGGGGCAGCCCAGGACTCCTCACCATGAAGCTGGTATACCCCACACCACCAATCCAGGGGCTGATGACCTTCCATACGCCAATGCTGCCCTGACGCATCCTCTGACCAGCTGCCATCTCCAGGAATAGAAGAGGAACCCCGACCAAGAACAGCATGAAGATGTAGACGATAAGAAAAGTGCCTGAGCAGGGAAGTCAGGAGGGGCTCTGAGAATCGCCTGGGTTTTCAGTGCCTGGACTTCTTTGGAGGTCCAGGAAAACACATTCCCCGCAGTGACCTCCCTCAGGGACACACTCAACTATTTCCACACCTCTCATAGTCCCAGGTGTCCCTTTCTCCCCAGTTTCTGGAAGACCCAGATGCCTAATTTCCACCCCCCACCATGCTCATGAACCTAAATGTTCAGCTATCCTGTTTCTACCCACCCAGCATCATAGGTGTCCAGGTACCTGCCTCCTGTCCTAGTCAGGATCCCAAATCCCCCATCCCTACATATCTCAGAGACCTCAGAGTAGCCAGGACAGTCCTTTAGCTCGTCACCCCCTTGTGGGTCCATGATTCCTGGTCCCCAGGCTTACCACCTCCGTTGTGAAAACACAGATAAGGAAAGCGCCAGATGGTGCTCAGCCCCACAGAGAAGCCCACCTGGGCCAGGAGGTACTCAATTTTATTGGCCCAGGATGGTCGGTCAGGGGGAGCTTCATCCTTCGGCTCATCATTGCTTGTGGTCTCATCATTATCTTCATCAGACCAAATGTATGATGGCAGAGTGTCAAACTTCTGTCCCTTCCCCATCAATTCCTCAGTTGGCAACTCAGACTTTAACAGCTGGGGAGCTGAGGTAGTAGAAGTAAGGCATTTGGGATCCAAAGGTCTAGATGTCTGAGCTTTCTCATCTTGGGCCTCCATATTTTCACTAACAGTTGTCATCCAGGGTGAACTCTAGTTCCTGCTTCCACAGGGATGAGGCCTCCTTCCTTGTTGACCTTAAGGGCACCAAGAACTATAGACTTTAGATATATGAGCTAAGGAAAGACAAGACTAATTCTAGAAGAGCCCCTGAGGCCTCAAAACCCTCTTATCCTTATGTGGATAAGAACATGGAGTGGCACCTGGGTGGCTCAGTCAGTTAAGTGTCAGACTTCGGCTCAGGTCATAATCTCGCGGTTTGTGAGTTGAGCCCTGCATCGGGCTCTGTGCTGACAGGTCAGAGCCTGTGGCCTGCTTTAGAATCTGTGTTTCCCTCTCCCTCTGCTCCTCTCCTGTTCACACACACACATACACTCTCTCTCACAAATATAAACATTAAAAAATTTTTATAAAAAAAGATGGAGTCTCTGTCCTTGAAAACACACCAAGGATATGCCTCCCTCTGGAAAATAATGATTTTAAAACAATACGATGTACAATAATACCAAAAGACATAAAATGCCTAGCAATAATTTTAACAAAAGATGAGCAAGACCTTTACACACACACACGCACACACACATTATTGAGAGAAAATAAAATTAAGGGATATGTTCATGAACAACAAGTCTTAATAGTATGACAATGTCAATTATCCTCAATCAATCTATATAATTCAATGCAATTCTTACTGAAATCACACAAAGGTTTTTGGGGAAATTGACAAGCTGATTCTAAAATGTACACGGAGGGGGCTCCTGGGTGGCTCAGTCCAGTGAGTAACTGACTCTCGATTTCAGCTCAGGTCATGATCTCATGCTTCATGAGATCAAGTCCCGAGCCAGGCTCTGTGCTGACAGTGCAGAGCCTGTTTCAGATTCTCCCTCTCCCTCTCTCTCTGGCCCTCCCCCACCTGTGCTCTCTCTTCCTCTTCCAAAATAAACAAACATTTTAAATAAATAAATAAATAAATAAGATGTACATGGAAAGCAAAAGACTTAGAATGGTTAATACAATCTTGATAGAGAAGAACCAAATGTAAGGCCTGATTATAAAGCTACAAGAAATAAGAGAGTATTAAGACTGCACAGGGATCTATGGCACAAACAGATTCTTGGATCAAACTGCTGCACTGTTTAATATGGTGGCTACTAGCCACATATGGCTATTTAATTAAAATTAAGTAACATCAACAATTCAGTTCCTCAGTCATACTAGCCATATATCAAGTGCTCAGTAGGCCACATGCCTACCATACTGGAAGGACAGATAGCAAACATTCCCATTATCACAGGAAGTTCTGTGGATACTACTGGGAGAGTTCAGAAACTCACACAAAAATAGATGCCTGATTTACAATAAAGATGGCACTGCAAAGCTGTAGAGGAAAGGGCATTCTTTTCAATGAATCACTGGATGTTAGAGCAACTGGATATCTACACAGAAATAAGTGAACCCTGGCCTCCCCTACTTCACATATTAAACAATAATCTATTCAAAGTAGATTGAAGTTCTAAATGTGAAAAATGAAACAATAACATTCCAGATGAAAAAACCTAGAAGGATATCAGCATGACTTGAATGTAGGCACAGATTTTTTTTTTTTTAAAGAGTACACAAAAAGCACCAATGGAAAAGTTTGACATACTGGATTAAATTAAAACTAGAAACTTCAATGAAAACAACAGTAATTGAATAAACAGACAAGCCCTAAGGCAGTGGAAGATATCTGCAACATACGTGGTAGACAGAATAATGCCGTCCTCCAAGATATCCACATCCTAATCCCTATTACCCATGCATATGTTACTTTACATGGAAAAAGTGACTTTTCAATGTGGTTGAGTTATGGATCTTTAAATGAGGAGATCACCCTGGATTATCTATGATGGGCCCAATGTAATTATAGGGTCCTTACACGGAAAAAGGGAGGTAGGGGAGTCAGAATCCAAGGAGAAATTGGGATGGCAGGGGTAGAAGTTAGAGTATCTTGAATGTAGCGGAAGGAGCCATGATTGAAGGAATGCTAGCTGGAAAAGGCTAGGAAATGGATTCTTCCCTAATCCTATGTAAGGAACACAGAAATGCTGACATTTGCTTTTAGCCCAGTAGCCCAGTCAAACGGATTTCAGATATCTGACCTCTAGAATGTTATGATAATACACTGATGTTATTTTAAGCCACTAAGTTTGTAGTTATTGTTAGAGCAACAGCAGGAAACAAAATATATAACCCGAAAAGGGCTTGTTTCCCAAATGATATTTATAAAAGAGAGAAATACCTATAAATAAGAAAAAGTAGACAAGCTAAAAAGTGGAGGGAAGGGAAAGAAAGCTTGAACAACCTTATTAATAGAAACTTGTAATATATACAAATCAATAGCCATAGGAAATTGTGGTCATTACTCAACTTCACTGGTCAACAAGAAAATGTAACTAAAACCACAATAAGAATAGATGAATATATATGTGATAAACTGCATTGAGTAAAAGGTTAATTGTAGAACCTAGGTTGATGGTCATATGGATGGCCATTGTATAAATATTCCAACTTTTCTATATGCCTAAATATTTTTTCAAAATAAAATGTTGGGAGGAACTCACAATGAGACCACTATATACCCACTAGATGAGCTACTATAATGATAAAGTCTGATTAAACCAAATGATGGCTTGTGTGGAAACTTCTGGAACTCACACAGTTGGCAGAAGCATAGATTGGTACATCTACTTCAGAAAACTAGTTGAGGGGTGCTTGCGTCCCTCGGTTGAGTGTCCAACTCTTGATTTTGGCTTAGGTCATGATCTCATGGTTGTGAGATAGAGAGCCCCATATCTGGATCCTGGGCATGGGGCCTTCTTGGGATTCTCTCTCTCTCTCTCTCTGACCCTCCCCCCTCAAAATAAATAAATAAACATTAAAAAAAAAAAAGAAGAAGACTACTTTCACTTATAAGTGGAACAGGAGAAACTTAACAGAGGACCATGGGGGAGGAGAAGGGGGAAAATAGTGGGGGAGAGGGAGGGAGGCAAACCATGAGAGACACTTCAATACTGAGAACAAACTGAGGACTGATGGGGGTGGGGGGAAGGGGAAGGGGGGTGATGGGCATGGAGGAAGGCACTTGTTGGGATGAGCACTGGGTGTTATATGGAAACCAACTTGACAATAAACTGTAAAAGAAGAAAAAAGAAAACTAGTTGAATGTATCTACATACTTTATTTTCATATTTTACAATCTATTCCAAAGTGACCATCTAACAAACATGCACATAAGTATGCCAAAAATTATGTTCAAGAATGCTAATAGCTATACTATTCACAACTGCCAAAATCTAGAAACAACACAAATCTCCAACAGTAGAATGGATAAGTTATAGTATATTCATATAATGGGTATATAATAAAAAGAGTGAACTGCTGATATGCACAACAATCTGGATGAATCTCAAAAATATTACTTTGAATGAAATAAGCAAGGCTCAGAAGAGAACATAGTATATAATGCCATTTATATGAAGTTCAAGAAGAGGCAAAACAAATTCATGGTGTCAGAAGACAGGATAGTGTGCTTATATTGTCATAATTTACCTAACTATAATTATGATTTGCACACACTTGAGATACTTTCTAATGAAAGTTTATCTTAGGGGTACCTGGCTGGCTCAGTCGGTAAAGCATGCAAGTCTTGATCTCTGGGTTATGAGTTTGAGCCCCTATGTTGGGCATAGAGCTTTCTTTAAAAAAAAAAAAAAAGTTTATCTTAAAAATAAACACTGGAAAACTAAGCAAAAACCCTGGATTTCTATATCGTAGTAATAAACAGAAAACAGATTTTGTTTTGTTTTGTTTTAGAAAGTGCGAGTGGGGGAAGGGGCAGAGGGAGAGGGTCTTAAGCAAGCTCCATGCTCAGCACAGACTACAGAATCTGATGTGGGGCTGGATCCCACAGCCCTGGGATCATGACCTCAGCTGAAGTCAAGAGTTGGATGCTTGGCCAACTGAACCAACCAGGTGCCCCAAATGGGACTGTCTTCTTAATTTGTTTTTCAGATAGTTGGTTGTTAGTGTGTAGAAGTGCAACTGATTCTTGTATGCTGAGTTTGTATCCTGCCCCTTTACTAAATTCATTAGTTCTAACAGTTTTTTTTTTTTTTTGAGGAGTCTTTAGGGTTTTCTGTATATGAAATCATGTCATCTGAAGATAGAGACAATTTTACTTCTTTCTGTGCAAACTGGATACCTTTGATTTCTTTTTCTTGCCTAATTGTTATGGCTAGGACTTCCAGTACTATGTTGAATAATCATGGAGAGATGCAGCACTCTTGTCTTGTTCCTGATTTTAGAGGAAAAGTTTTTGAGCTTTTCACCCTTTAGTATGATGTTAGCTGTGGGCATGTCATATCTGCCTTTATTATATTGATATACATGCCTTCTATACCTAATTTGTTGAGAAATTTTATCATAAAATGATGGTGAATTTTGTCAAATACTTTTTCTACATCTGTTGAGGTAATCATATGATTTTTATCCTACATTCTGTTAATGTTATGTATCACATTTATTGACTTGCGTATGTTGAACCATGTCTACATAACTGGGATAAGTATTACCTGATCGCTGTGTGATCCTTTTAGTGGGCTGTTGAATTCAGTTTGCTAGAATTTATTTGGTTGAGGATTTTTGCATCCACGTTCATCAGAAATATTGGCCTATAATTATCTTTTCTTATAGTCCCCTTGTCTGGCTTTGGTATCGGGGTTAATAGTGGACTTGTAAAATTGCCATAGTTAAGTCCATGGACATCAGGGCTGTTACCAGGCACAGATGGGTATGGCTCCATGTCCCTGTGAACGTCCCTGGGTGGGAAGACTGCCTCAGGAACTGTGGTAGAGCAGGGCCGGAACTGGGTCACAGGGTTGCTTCATGTTCTGCAGTCAAGAACTAGGTCAGTGGGCCTGCCACTAGTGGCTCAGAGGAGTAGGTCTCTCACCAGTTTCCTGGGTGGTCATGGTTGAACTGGCCCCCAACCATGGCAGAGAAGGGGTTGCCACTGAGTCTCAGGGCCATTTCAAGG